TATGGATCTTTAAATTCAGGACTAAGTTTTTTATTTAGATTTCCTCTTGCTAATTTTTGACTGATTTGAATCTTCTCTTTTTCATTAGACGATAGGTGAACTTTACTTAGTAAAAATAGCTTTACCTCAGGAATACTCTCTTCGTGAAAATCGGTTGACATAAGAATGGATGCTTTCTTCCTAGATTTCTTGGTACTGGAATTCCATTTCCGCTTTTTAGTATGCTTCCCAAAATTATGCTTGTGAATTTTTTTAGTAGCTCCTATATTTTTATTTGAAATTTTTGTTTCCTTTTGAATTTCAGCTTTAGGATGATTTTTAGGTTTTGAATTCTGTATGGATGATCTTTCTTCTTTTACTTTTAGACCTTTTTTCTTATTTTTATTTTTAGGAAGTAATGGTGCTTCTTTAGCCTTTTTCTTAGATAAATTTGTAGAGGGTGCTTCTTTAGCCTTTCTCTTAGATAAATTTGTAGAGGGTGCTTCTTTAGCCTTTCTCTTAGATAAATTTGTAGAGGGTGCTTCTTTAGCCTTTCTCTTAGATAAATTTGTAGAGGGTGCTTCTTTAGCCTTTTTCTTAGATAAATTTGTAGAGGGTGCTTTTTCCTCTTGAGCAGGAATTGATCCTGGTAAAGAATCTGTTTTCTCTTCAACTTCAAGTTTGGATTCTGGTAAAGGATCTGTTTTCTCTTCAACTTCAAGTTTGGATTCTGGTAAAGGATCTGTTTTCTCTTCAACTTCAAGTTTGGATTTTGGTAAAGGATCTGTTTTCTCTTCAACTTCAAGTTTGGATTCTGGTAAAGGATCTGTTTTCTCTTTAACTTCAAGTTTGGATTCTGGTAAAGGATCTGTTTTCTCTTCAACTTCAAGTTTGGATTCTGGTAAAGGATCCGTTTTCTCTTCAACTTCAAGTTTGGATTCTGGTAAAGGATCTGTTTTCTCTTTAACTTCAAGTTTGGATTCTGGTAAAGGATCTGTTTTCTCTTTAACTTCAAGTTTGGATTCTGTAACTTCTAAAATTTTAAGTTTTTCCTTCAATTTTATTGTGTTATCTTCATAGTGGATACATGTTGATTTTTGTCTGCGATTAATCAATTCTTTTATCAGTTGACTATGGGGTTTCTTGTCTTGGTATAATTCTATTAATTTCGTTTTTACGTCATCCCAATTATCAAAATCGTACAAAGAAATTCGATCCCTGGCTTTACCAGTGATTCTGGAATAAATGAATCTAAAGAGTGGATACTTATTCTCTTCAGAGGACAATTTAATAGCATTATCACAATCAGAGATAAATGCGTTAAGTTGGTTCCTTTCTCCGGAAAAGAAATTAGGAACTAGACTACACAAGAAACTAAGGGATATTTGGGATGGGTTGAAAACAGGTTGATCAAGTTTAGGCATTGTTCACAAAATGAGTTACCTATTACTACTACTTACAATATAAAGAAATTCTGATAAAGAGTTAAAACCCACCAACATGAAACGAATTACTTAAGAATTCTCCGGTTTCTTGTCGTTCAGAATGATCCTTCATCGACTGCGCCAAAATTTTAATATGTTATATTCGGTTCGTTCTTTATTTTTGTAAGTAATGAACAAGCACTTAAAACTATCACTAACAAAACTAATATTAATAAACAAGAACTTATTACAGCTAGACTAAAAATCAAATGAACCAACGCCAAGCTGTGTAGCTTGCCTATATTACTTTGGTCTTTCGTCAGTCAACTGTTTCGAACGTTTAACAATGGGAACTAGCAAACACTTGCAACTAAAATAAAAGAAATAGTCTTTAGAAGCTTCGCTTCTAAAGAAGAACAATTTGAGTTCGTCGCCAGTCTTTTGTTTATAAAAATTTGAAAATGTGAATATTGAGTACGGGATCATAACAGTATATATATATAATTTGTTCTAGCAATTTCGATATATAATAAAATATATATATATATATATATATATATATATATACGCATCATGTTATACACTATTATTAAAATATAAATAATAATAATAATAACATATAAAATACCATTTAAATTTATCGTTTATACTCGACGGAAAAAAAAAATTATATATATATATAAAATTGTAGTCGTTGTTGTTGTTGTAGTTGTTGTTATTATTATTATTATTAGTAGTAGTAGTAGTAATAATAATACTATTATAATATTAAAAAAAAAGGGTTATAAATAACGTTAATAGTCAATATATTTTTATATTTATATCTTCATTTAAAAAAAAAAAAAAATTTTTTTCTTGCAATTTTTTTTTTTTTTTATTCCCTTATAAATTATAAAATGAATTATATACGTCGACATAAATTAATAAATTCTAGAAAAATTTTCCTTTTTTTTTTTTTTTTTTTTTTTACGACTTACCGGTAATTTAAATAAGTCAACGCATATTTTTTTTTTTTAATAAAAAACGTCTTTATTAAAATTTATACTTACCAAAATAATAATAATAATACTTACTTTTCGTTGTAAATAAATAAATTGAATTTTTTTTATGTAACGATTGATATTATTAATTTATATACTCTATGGATAAATTACGCGTATCATTCGATACTCCGCGGTTATAAAAAAATGGATATTTATTTTTATTTATTTATTAACGTCATAACCGTTTTCAATTATTTAATAATAATTTTTTTAAATAAACGCGTGTGACGGTTACACTCCTGTAATGATGACAATAATAATAATAATAATAAATTTAGTTCTTTTCGACGCCTCATATATTTATATATTTAAAAAAAAAATTTCATAGAGTATTTAAATAAACAACATGAAACGCATTATTTGACGGGGAATTTCTTCGTAAATGACGTCAAACAGGTGAAGGGGAGGGGGAATATTCGCGTTTCTTTATTTTTCTTATTCTTTTCCATAGAGTAATAAATTTATATAAACAACATTGAAAATTTTAAGGTATTCCCGTTTCTTTATTTCTTTTTCCTTTTTCCTCCATAGAGAGTATTAAATTTAAATAAACAAATAGTAGTAAATTTGCGTTTCTTTTTTTTTTTTTAATCTTTTCCATAGAATATATAAACTGAGTCGAACGAACGGAAAACAACGTTTTTATTTTTTTAAATATTATTAAGATTAAGCGACCATTTCATCATTTTAAATACTCGCGTACCTGTTATAAATCAAAAAAAAAATTATACGAATATTAATAATAATAATAATAATAATAATAATAATAATAATAATAATAATAATAATAATAATAATACTTATTAATTATTATTCGTTTTCAATCTGGTTAACGCAATATTATATGCGCTCTATAATTTACCAACTTATAAACACGCCTTTTTTTTTTTTTTTTTTTTATTCTCTTCACTTGTTCTTATTATTATTATTATTATTATTATTATTATTATTAAAATTTTCAACGCCATCAAAATCATTAAAAATCATCATCATCATCATCATCATCATCATCAGTTCATCAAACTTGACGTAATTTTTTTTTTGAAAAATTTCATTTTTCCGTTACTGAAACAAAAAAAAAAAAATGGCGGCTGTCATATAATTTTCGTCGTTACTTTTTTATTATTATTATTATTATTATTATTATTATTATTATTATTATTATTATTATTAAAGCAAACGATAAAAAAGAAAAAAAGGCGTTTATTAACTAATAAAATTTCTATTATTTTAATTACCCGTTTTTTCTTTTAAATAATAATAATAATAATGAACTTCTTTAAAAACGAGAATAATTAAGGATTGATTCTCATCTCGTATATTTTGCAAATTTTACATTTTTTACGCGGCGGTGAATAATTAAAAATAAATAAATAAATAAATAAATGATAAAAAAAAAAACAAGACTCTTATCAATCATCTAATTTGATATTTTGCAAAAAAAAAGAAGAAAATGGCGGCGCGAATTAATATTATGAATATTTATTATATAAACGACTTATTATAAAAAATTTTGCAATAATCAATATTTAAAAAAAAAATTAATTTCTCCTTTGGCAATTAAAAAAAAAAAAATGCAATAAATTATTTCTTTCTCTCTTTTCCTCCCCCCTCTCTCCCTCCCCCTCTCCCTCCCTCTCTCTTTCTCTCTCTCTCTCTCTCTTTCTCTTATTAATTTTTTTCCAGTTGATTTAATTAAAAAAAAAAAAAAAAAAAAAAAAACACATTTGTTTTCCCGTGTAATATTTTTTAATAATAATAATAATTTCGTTTCCGGTTTCAAATCAAAATATTTTATCCTTAATAATAATAATAATAATAAAGTAATAAAAAGTTATTATTATTATTATTAATAATTAATTATTCGGGGGGAGGGGGGGGAGAATCAAAAACGCAAAATACCAACGAATAAGGAAAAAATCTCCTGGAATTTATTATTATTATTATTATTATTATTATTTTTAATCATAATCACGACGATTCGTCTTAAGGAAGCTTTTCCAACATTTATTCCAGGTTTCCACCCGCCGATCCCTAAGGTATAAATGCCTGATTTATTCATTAGCCTAACGTTTTTTCATATGAAAAATTAAATCTTAAAATGACTTACTTATCCGTAATAATCATATGTACTAAGTCATCTTCTAAGGTTTTTTTAATCACCCAATTTTCCTTTTGTCGCGTGAAACCGTTACGACTGACCGCTGTAAGTTTAAACTTTAGTTATTACTAAATAATAATAATAATAATAAAAAACTAATTATATCACAATAAACTAGACTAAATGACAAAACTTTTGATATATAAAACTAATAACTAAATCCTTAAATAAAATTAATTTAAATAAGTTGACAACATGACGTATTAAACGCGTGTCAACATACCGTTAGACTCTCGCTCCCTCTTCTTTTATTATTATCATTATCATTATCATCATTATTACTATTATCATTATTATTATGTTGTTGTTATAGGTTTACCGCAGATTAATGAAGCGTAAAAGGAAAAAAATTTTATTTATTTATTTTTTTTTTTATTTTAAATAAATTATTTTTACAAATTTTATTTTATTTTATTTTTTATTTAACGTAATTATTATTATTATTATTATAATTGTTATTATTATTATTATTATTATTATTATTATTATTATGATCATTATCATTATTTTATTATTATAGGTAAAAAGAAGAGGAATAAATTAAAATTGAAAAAAATTATTTCTAAAAAAAAAAAAATGATGATGATGATAATAATTATTATATCCATTTCTCTCCAGGATGAGTAAAAACAATTTTTTTTTCCAGACACGGAAAAATTCCAGAAGAAGAAAAAGAAAAAGAAATTATTAATTTATTATTAAATTTTTCATAACCGGAAACGAAACGTTTCCCTTCAACTAACAAGATCGTTTTTCCTAAGGAGTTCCAGTCTGATTTCGTGTTCTCTCGCTTTTAATCTTAGAGCGGCTATGCTCGAACTCCTTCTGTCCAAATCCGGAGCCGTCGTCGCTGGGGGAGAAGTCGACGCGGACACGGTCGTCGTAGGCGAAGCCATGGCGGACACGGTCGCCGCGGCCAACAATGCAGCCGCGTGTTGCTGATAATCTTCCGTCGGAGATCCCGTCGGTGAGTGTTTGGGTCTCTGTGCGGCCGATATGTTTGCGAGCAAGTTTTGAAACGAACTAGCCGTCGATGGACTGTATGTCAAAGGTCCTAAACTCGATGGTAACAACGTCGTCGGAGCACCGCGGTGAAAAGGAGGCGGCGCCCCTAAATACCCGCTCGGAATAACCGGACCCGGTCCGAGGTGAGGATATCCTCTGAATGCCGCCGCCAAACTCACCGCTCCCGTCGCACCCTCGAAAGGTTTACGCAACGTGAATCCCAAATGAGAAAAAGGATTCGGAAGAGTCGGCGTGACGGCCGACGGCGGCGTTGTACCGCCCCCGCCACCACCACCACCTCCACCTCCTCCTCCCGATGCCAAGTACGGATTGTAAGGATGAGCCTGTGGTCCGACTTTTTCTTGTTTCCTCCATTTGGCTCTCCTGTTTTGAAACCACACCTGTAAAACAATAAAAAAAATTTTTTCATTTTTTCTTGTAAGTAATCAATTTCCTCCTCCCCCCCCATTCATATTGATCAATAATGATCCGCCATATTAAATTTCTTTAACGTTTCGTACGATTATTAAAATCCAAAACTAATTTTCTCTCTCTCACCCGTTAATTATTGCAAAACGAAGAAGTAATTCGAGATTTATTCGCGTACACGGAATTTTTAAAATATTATTTTTTACCGCCATATTGCCCTCTGCCCGCCATTCCGATCAATATTCATTATTCATCGATTGTAATTAAATTCTCATCGCCGCCTTGTTATTATCGATCGATCGATCGGTCGATCGATCGATAATCGTCATCGTAACGGCGTCTTCGCAAAATGAGTGCGCGACAATTTTTATATTTTGCACGTATTGTGATCGCGGTCGAACGAATCCAAAATGAAAGAGAAAGAGAGGTGAGGGGGGAGGCAAGGATCACGAAACGCGAAATAAAGAAAACATCGAGATGAAGCAGAAGACAAAACAAAACTCGGAACAATGAGTAATTTAACGTATTAGTACTTTAATGCGGAATAATTGATACAAAAAAAAACAAAAGAATAGACGAGTTCAATAATCGAACCAAATTTTGTTATTATTATTATCATCATCTGGAAAAAAAATTCCCTTTCCTCTTCCTCTCCCGTGATAAGTGATAAGAGAACGTTTCGACGCGAACCGATCATCGACCTGTTGCTTACCCTAAAACCCAAACCGACGACATAATTTTCAATAATTTTCAGGCAAGTAATAATAATAATAATAATTTATGCTCTCGTTTTACGGATCGTTTCCTTTTCTGGAAAAAAAAAAAACCAACAACAGAAAAGGGTTAACCGATAACGAGATGGTTCGTACGTTCCAGGTTTCAATACGCAGTTATGGAGTCGAAAATAATCATCATCATCATCACTCAACGAATTAATTTTCTTTCTTTCTCCAGAGAACGAGATGAAACTGGATAATGTCCAAATTGCAAGAATAGAACGAAGAATTAATTTTTTTTTTTTTGGTAAATTTTAAAATAAAAAACCTTCCAGGCAAACGATTAAATCGTAAATTATGCAACGTTGTAATTTAACACCTCGAAACAACATTCAAAAATCTGTAATTTTAAATTATTATAATTTTTTTTTTTTTTTTTGGAATTCCATAATAAATTTATAATTCAACCCGGATTTCGGAAAATTGTTTACAAGAAAAAAAAAACAAACCGGATATGGTTCCATCGATGGAAAATTGTTTAAAAGAAAACAAACCGGATATGGTTCCATTGATGACCACTACATTTTAATTTTCATCAGCGTTTGAAATAGCAAAAACAAAAACCTGAGAATCGATTAATTCCACGACTTTTTTTAAAACGAAAAATCACAATCATCAACAGAGAGAGAGAGAGAGAGAAATTTTGTCGTGTCTTTAGAAAAATCGTTATTTTTTTATCAACAACGATAAAACTAATCCAATAAAATTATTTAATTCGTTTTTGTTCGTGTATTAAGCTTTTTAAAACGATCAATTAATAGTTTATTAAAAAAAAAAAAAAAGTGAAAAAAGAAAAATGTCGTTAAAAAAAATCGCCATTTTTGAATAATAATAATAATAATAATAATAATAATAATAATAATAATAAAAGAGGTTGAAAAGAAAAAAAACAACACGCCAACGCGAAAAAAAAAATTATTTAAAAAATTCTAGTAATAAATTATAATTTAAGTTTTAACGTTGAAATTTTAATAATGATAATAATAATAATAATAATAATAATAATAATAATAATAATAATAATGTAGTCAATAAAATAAGTAATTAATAAAAATGTAACGATTGAAAGAATTAAAAAAAAAATATATTCCCTCGCGTCCCCTCATCGTCGTCTGGTCATCGTCGTCATCGTTATAGTCGTCTGCGTCTGGTTCCACGACAACAAATAAAAAACATTAGCACAACCTGGCGTCGCTAATAAAAACTAACATTTTAATTAAAATAATTTACTATATGAACGAAAATGCAAAAAAAAAAAAAAAAAAAAAATGTAATAATAATGACAAATGGGGCATTGTTGGTTGTTTGTTTGTTTGTTTTATTATTATTATTCATTATTATAACGTTTTCGATTCGTTTCGTGTGTATATTTTTACTTAAAAAGGGGAGGATTTTATTAGGGGGGAGGGAGAGAGGGAGGGGGCGGAGGGATACAAGGGGTAAGATATTGGGAGGAGCTAGAAAAAAAAAAAATAAAAAAAAAATTAAAGCAAAGAACACTATTTAACCGTAACGAGAGAAAGAGAGAGAAAAAGAGAGAGAGAGAGAGGGGCAACATACAAACGATTTAATTACGAACGTTTTATTAACCATTAAACGTTTGTTTAAACATATAAATAATAAAATTTTTTATTTTACTGCCGTCGATGTTTTCATTGACTCCAGCAAGGATAATTTTTTTTTTTTTATTACGTTCGCGCGCTCGTACGCACACGCACGCACGCGCACACACACACACATACACACATATACCCGTGATTGTTTTTCCCTTTGGAATTTTTCTCCAGCGTGCACACGTAGTCGAGAGAAAGAAGAAAAAAATGGTACATACTCGTAAATTACCCATTTAACCCGTTTAATTTTATTATTATTATTATTATTATTATTATTATTATTATTATTGTTATTACATTTTTTATTTCGTGTAATCGCATTAATTTTATTTTAAATAATGAGACGGCGATGATGATGATGATGATGATGATGATAATAAACACGTTGCGATTATAATGATAATATTCGAAACCACTGAAAATTTTCATTTTTCCACGAGTTTTCACTATCGAACTCAACCGTCGGGACCTGTTGTACCTGAACCAGGTAAAACAGCATAAAGTTACCCCAGACTAATAAAATATATCGAGCACATAACGTATGACATATGACCGACCAATAAAAGTGGAAAAAGGTAGACGAGAGAGAGATAGGGATAGTGGGGGCGGAGTATAGTGTATGGGGTGCATGCGTGCGCCGCGTCGTGGAAGAAGAAGAAAAATTTGCTTTTGTATATTTTTTTTATTAGCCTATAAATTAATGACACGTCAATAAATTAAATTTTAATCAATTTCACGAACCGGACGTTTTATTCATTTATTTATTTACCTATTATTATTATTATTATCATCATCATCATCATTATTATTTGTTATACATTTTATATCGTCGTCGTCTCTCGTCTCGTTGAAACGTTCGCATGCGTCCGAGTGACTGCGTGCGCGTACTACATGTATTTATCACATTAAAAAAATTTACGCGTCCGACATTTTTTTTTGTTTTGGGTAGTAACGACCCCGATGATGATGATGATGATAATAGTTACAATATTATTATTATTATTAATCGTTTCAAAAGAGTCATTAACTACTTTCTCCGTACGAATAACGACCGAGGGGTAATTAAAAAAGGTTGGACCACCACCGTTTTTTATAAATGTTTGCCACCAAATTCATCATTCGTCATCAATGACGTCATCATTCGTTAAATTTTCCCTTTTTTCGCGAGATAGATAAATTTGTTTTCAAATGCTTTCGAATTGTTTCCGGTTATTATTATTATTATTGTTCTCGTCGTCGTCGTCGTTGTCGTCGCCGTCGTCATTTGTTCAACATTATGGTAATAATTAAAAAGATTTACATTATTTGATAACAACAAAAAAAAAGAAATTGTTGCATGTAAAATGAAAACGTAAAAAATAATAATAATTCATGCAAATGTTTTTATTAATAATTTCCACGGGGAGGGGGGGTTTCTGTTTTTTTTTAATTATTTTTGTAATTAAAAATTTTTTTTTTTTTTTTTTTAATTATGGGGAGTCGATTACGAAAAGTAAAAAAAAATTTTTATTTTATTTTTTTTCATTTTCATTAAGTTTTCTAAAATTAACGCCGAAATTAAAAAAAAAAAAAAAGAAACAAATTTCTCATGCTCCCCCCTCCTCCGCCCCCTACCATTTCCCCTTTTCCTCCACCCACCTCCCCTTTTTACTCAACTATAAAATAAAAAAAAATTTAAAAAAAACTTTTTTTCCATGTCGTTAGAAAATTCGAAAAAAAAAAAAAAATGTTTTATCGTGTGATGTTAACAAATTTTCCTCCCCTCCTCCTCCCTTCCTACAGGGGAGGGGCAGGTGGGTAGATCAGGAGGGAAATTTCGGGTTCGGTTGGTGAAAAGGGAAGGGAGAGAGGGTGACAAAGGGTTAAAGTAAAAATGGTAATAAAATGAAAGGAGTAAAAATTAAAAAAAAGGACTCGAAAATTCCTTTTTTTTTTGGGGGGGGCGGCGGGAGGGGGAGTACAAAACAATCCGTGTAACAGCTTTTGCACGATAAAATCTTAACTTAATTAAACGTTAATTAGTTTTGAGACTAATTCGTGATTAACAATCGTTTAACGTAATTTTTTTTCTTTTTTTTTTTTTTTTCATTCTCCATAATTTTTTTTTTTTTTTAAAAACTTTTTTTATTAATATTTTCATGCGTGGATTTTCTTTATCGCGAGCACGATTCCAGCGTGATAATATTTTAAACAAAACAAAAAAGTTTGAAATAATAAAAAAAAATTTCTTTTCCGTTTCCGTTTTTACCGGATGTGACGTCGCGACGAGGACGACGACGACTAAAACTAAAAACTACAAACGTTACGATCGAATGAATTTAGGTTGGCATTACTGACGGTAATAAAATCATTTTCGAATCTATTTCCACGTTTAAACTCACCAACGACAAATCGAAACTTTTGAGAGAGACCGTGTGAGAGGGAAGAGGGGGAGAGGGGTGGGCACAGGGAAAATTTTAAATCGTTTAAAAATATTTTTCGTGCGACTAATTAAATTTTAACTTCCTGTCAAATCTTTTTTTTTCCAACGCATCCCGTATTATTATTATTATTTTTTTTTTGGATTATTAAACGTGACCTTGC